TATTAGAAGGTAGAGCGCCTATTGTTACAAACACTCTAGGACCTTTAGAGCTTAATCTTATATTATTTTCTTAGAGTAGTAACAAGTAGATCTTAGCGACCTATAGAAGGTTATAAGTTAGCTCTCCTATTAGTAACTTTTTAATAATCCTTTAAAACATAGTTTAACCCTAATCTAGTAAGATCCTAGTAAATAGAGCTTTAGGATAGTCCTATACTATAAGCTATCCTTTAATATTAGGAATATTATATACCTTAGCTTGCGTGTATAGGATTGTCTACTCCTTCTACTAATAATTAGTATCTTAGGTACTTATCTTTACTTTAGTAAGATAAGCTTTATACTATAATCTTACTAGTGTTATAGCCCTTAATTTAGTTAGCGCTAGGTTATTATAGAACACTTAGATTAGTGCTTAAAAGGTTACTTATCCTTAATTAATAAGCCCTATATAGGCTAGGGTAAGGATCTCTTAATCTACTATATTATTAACCTATATAAAAAGATTCTAGATTACTAATAACTTTAATACCTAATCTAATAAGCAAGCTTAGTACTAGGCTATTTAGAGCTTGTACTGCTTGCTTGTTGTATTAGATACTATAATACCTATTAGCATACTAGGCTTAATAGGTCTATTCTTAAAGTAGTTTTTAGTATCTAGAGTATTAGGGTCTACCTCTATCTAGATCCCTTTAGTTAGGGCATGGTATCTAAATTAAATATACTAGGTAGGCTAGTTAGTTAATCTAGTAAGCAGGATATCCCCCTTTAGGATTTAGTTACTTATAGTAGAAGAGTAATAAGTAAGCCTCTACTTAAGAAATAGTATAGAAAGATAGAACTTGCTAGCTTAGTAATTAAGTTAAGTAGTACACTTAAATAGATAGGACAATCTTTAATAAGGTAAAACGCGACCTAGGCTTATAACTATAGAAATTTAGATTACTAAGGTTAGGAATAATTTAGGAGATAGATTATTAGATTATCTCTACTAGAATTAGACTTATATATATAGAGCTTTAGCTACCCTTACTAGAAGGTGTATAATTAGTAAACCTTCCTTACTAGAGCTCCTGCTTTTATTAGGTACTTAGTAGTAAGCTAGCAGTTAATTAGATAGTGGGTTATACAGGGGTATTAATGCGGATTAATTGGCATTGATTGGGATTGATCAGATCAAGATGCTCCGTGATCCGGTTGTTATCCCTCCTGCAACACCTACTATAGGGCGCGACCCATACTATGCGACTATTATATAATATACTTATCTACTTAGTTTACTAAGGCAATCTAAGTAGACTAATTAGACTTATATATAATACTTATAATACCTAGTTACTTAGTTACTTCGTATTCTTAGTTAAACTAACTATATAAAAACTATAAGATACCCTTATAGTAGATTATATTTAACGTAAATAATAAGTATAGTAATATACTTAGTTATTTATAGAATTCCTGATTTATCTCTTACTTATTCTTAAGAACTAACCCTTATAGTCGAATACTAGCTACTTTATATTATAGCTACTTAGATCTATACACTTTAAATAACTCTAATATATGTAAATTTAGTAAAAATAAGAATAACTCTACTTAGCTATACACCTATACTAAAGTAGTAAAACCTAAGTTCTGCTATATATAGTAAAACAACTTTAAGAATAGTTCTTATAAGTTAACTTATACTATAACTATAAAGTAGCTAATATTAAAGATACTAATTATATTTATTACATAGTTACTATTACAGAATAGATATTAACTAGATTATAGAGCATCTTGATCTAATTAACTAAACTAACCCCTAATGAATATCTTTAGCTAATCCACTATCTAATCTACTACTAGCTTACCGCTAAGTGCCTAATAGAAAATAGAGCTCTAGTAAGCAATGTTTACTAATTATACACCTTCTAGTTAGGGTAGCTAAAGTTCTATTTATATAAGTCATATTATAGTAGATATAATATAATAATCCATCTCCTAAATTATTCTTAAGCTTAGTAATTACCTAATTTAATATTCTTCTGTAATAATTATTTAAAATATATCTATAACCTAAACATAACCTAGTACCTAACCTAGTATACACTAACCTATCCTATCTAGCCTACTTTAGCTAGCCTAAGCTGCCTAGCAATTAGAAGACTATAAATCTTTATACATTAGGTAAAATGTATAGATAAATTAGACTTACAGGAGTTGTACTTCCACGCTAGCTGTGCACAATATTATTATCCTCCAAGACAAGATTTAGAACGCGTTATGTAATATAGAGAACAAGAGAGAGAAGAGGGAGGGAGAGATCTTAGAACGTGTTTCTAATGTATTTATATAAATTAGATTGTATGTGTACTTCTAGAGTGGCTCGCGCTATTAAAAGTATCTCAAGAAAACGAACAGGTCGCCGAGAGCTATTTTGCTTTTTTTGTATTTCAAGCAATCGTGGTCATGCAATGCTAGCTACTCTGCTCTCACTTCCGGTTTATAGAACTTATTTCCCCAACGTAGCTCAAGACTCTTTGAGTAGACTACCCAAATTTCGCATAACATGTTTTATTAGCATTGTGCCTATGCTATTAACCAAATGGTACTTATTGATCACAAGCACTAAATCATTATATCTATTTAAGCATCTAATATGCCACAAATATAGATCTAATTAAATACACGATCAAAACAATTAAGGACCATGGCGAAAGGGAAGTTTTTACGCATTCAAAAGTTATAAACCAGTTCAACATACCACTAGATAACCTAATTTGAAGAACATTAAGGCACATAGGCTTCGCAGGTATCTAAGGGATGCAGCTAACCAAGTCTTCCCCTACAAAGAGAATTAGAGCCCTTAAAGCTATTATAAAGCTCGCCAAGAGAAGGCTACCGCATAAAGAGAATGTTAACTGCAGTTCTGCGTCTAGTTATATTGTATTGCAATCTAGGATAGGAAGACCACAGCCGCCAACGTGTTAATTTTGAGCTCAAATGTAGCTTATGATATTACATCTTCCACAATAATATACAGGAGTATCAACTCAATAAAAGAGGTATATATAAATTAAAGAAGAATTGCTCTCTGACTGGTATGGCCAATGAATCAAAACGGGCATTCTATAACTCAGTGTTAAAGAATAAGAGGCTAGATTTGCTTTTTAATATGGTAATTGGGAATGAATGACTGGTATAGCTAGTATCTACGCAGATAAAACTGCCTTACCAGCAAGTATCATGTACTAGAGCAACTAAAGGAGCATTCAATCTGGCTAGGCAGCGAAGGTAAGAGAAAAGCAACACTCAGTCTAAATTCCGCTATGATCCCTGGCTGAACGAATACCAACAACCCGTATTTTTCATAACGTCTTACTAGCTTCCTAAACTGCAGAATCACTCCTGTCGCCTACTTGAATTTCACGACCATAGGCTCTTAAGTTTTGCGACTAGGAAAGCATTATCTTAGCCAAATATTTGCTCTAGTCATCCTATAGTATTCGGACACTAATTGTAGTGTCATTCAAATCATTATTAACCACGTACCTGATGACCAAGCTGACTTAGTTCACTGCAGCGAAGGACTCCTATTAGCATATGATGGACGTCTTGTTGCTATTCTGGACAGTCTGGATCATCTCTCTTTGGATGTATACTATCTAAAGAGCCCTCTTGTTAGTACGGAACTAGTCCGAAAACAAAATAAGGTGGTACTAAGGAAGGTTCTAAACCAATTGTCAGTGCCAGGCGACTTTAACGCGCGCTTATCTTAAGGATATACCAGGAAATACTAGTTAAAAAGAAGAATCTAGTCTAGTATATAGATCGCAATGGAAGGATAATGCGTAATAATAACAAGTTAAGGAACACTACAGTACAAAACCGGTTTACAGTAGCTATATTTATCTAAAGTAGACCAAGAAGTGGTTTAGGTAGAAGAAGTAAACCTAAATAGGGTTTATTATACCATGTATTCCACAAAAGTAAACTACTTTTATTTCTACTTCTATTAATCTACTAGTATTAGTAATAACTAGTTTCCTACTAACTATTTAAGTATTTTACCCCTCCTTTCTTTAATCTTCTTTACCACCTCTATCACCACCTCTACCACCTCTACCACCTCCACTACCTCCACTACCTCCACCACCTCTATCACCACCTCTATCACCACCTCTATCACCACCTCTACCACCTCCACTACCTCCACTACCTCCACCACCTCTATCACCACCTCTATCACTACTACCTCCACTACCTCCACTACATCCACCACCTCTACTACCTCTACCACCACCTCTATTATCACCACCTCCTATTAGTAAAAATATTATGACTCATTATTATGTCATATGTGCGTATAGCGTGAAGCTAATCTTCTCTACCCTATTTAGTCTTAGTTAGGTATTATAGCGTATAATAGATATAAAACTACTTTTTATACTTAATTTAAACCACCTATAATAAAAGTAAACTACCACTTTAAACCTATTTACAGGTATACACGAGGTCAGTTTACACCTATATAGTAAACCCCTAGCGTACCATTCTACAGTAAACAATTTTTTACCGTAGTCGAATGCCTTTTTATTAGAGCGAATAGATCATACCTACTCTATGTATTCTATTAAAGTAATTTTTAATCCCTATCCTAAGTAGATGTTCCTCTATCAAATACCTTTAGGTGCTAGAAGTGTTTGCTATATAAACAACAAGACTTTCGCAAATATTTTGATAGCCTCTATATATTGCTGTTGTACTTTTCACTAAATTTGCACCATACCACATTATGTCGTTAAAACTGTGATGTCCACCCATAAATGCCACTAACTAGTTTCGAGTTTAGATGTAATACCTGGACCTTCACACATCAGTAATAATGTATATGACCTAATAGTAGCACTTGTTCTTGCACTCCTATTGCATCGAAGTATTCTTTGTAGCCAAATTCTACCTAACCCATCATAGGAAGCTAACTAAACAAGGGAAGATTTCCATAGTCTACTTTACACACAACTAGTAATTAGACTGCTTCTAGATGCAACCAGTGCAGCAAAGTCAGTAAGAGAAGGAGACTGCAGAATCTCAAAAATCGCGACTCTGGCCTTGACCTCACTGATGAGCCAGTTCCTGACCCGTACAGCCACCAACGAATCCACACCGTGATGCGTCAAAGGCATCCCAGGGTCGATATCGTTCGGGTCGATGCTGAATAACTCGCTAAGTTCTTCTGTAATCAACTCACTAACCAGCTTCCTCGCTGCAGATTCTCCAGTCGATCGACCGTTACTGACCAACTCCTGTGTCAGCTCGTTCACTCTACTGGCTGACAGCCCATTGCCACCAGTAGATGCTACACCCTCGTCACCCAGCCTCAATGTTCCAAAACGTTTGTCATCTTTGACTCCCTGGTTGTCAGGCAGGGCTTCATATCGGGGGAAACACGTTATGATCTGGCTCTTATCGCCAGTTTTCTTCAGCGGATCGATGATGCCTCCCTCGATCAGCTGCATGACATGGTTAACCGATAGACTCATGGATGTGACAGCCTTATCCACTCTCTTTAACACATCTTCTCCTTGCTCAGCTACATACCCCACATCATCAACTGGGCCAAGATTGATGGAAATCGCGGGTTCGCCATGCAAGGTTCGGTGTCGTGCCAAAGTGTCCTGAAAGGTGTTACCTGCAGCGTAGTTTGCCTGCGATACGTTGCCGGTAATCGCAGTACCAGAAGACAGCATAATAAAGTAGCGAAGGCCCGGCAAATTGTTATGCAAGTTCAGGGTTCCAGCGACCTTGGGCCGGACCGCTGTCTGCCATTGCTCGTAGCTCATGCGTTCCAGCACCGTATCCTGCCATTTTCCAGTTAGCCACCACCCGAGGACATCAAAAAATCACGATGGGTTGTTGGAAGAAGCTCACATCTAGGACCATGGCAGCCTGTAGAACCCCGCCAATAGGTGGCATATGTAAGTCCCCCAGACTTCCCACGATCTCAACCAATTCTTCTGCGCTGCTGATGTCACAGTCACGGATGACGAGTTTGCAGCCGTGCTGATCTGCAGTTTTCTGCAGTTCCAACCTGTTGGGATGCGAGCTTGCGTTGCGAGAGATTGCAAGGACATTTCTAGCGCCCTTCTCAATCATTCTCAGAGCAATAGCGTGGCCAACACCCCTTAGTCCTCCCACGATTAGATGAGTGACGTTCATATTAGCCAAGTCCAGAGAAGTTATCCGAGGAGATACGTTGACAACAGCGGTTGGTTCAATCGTAAGGACGATCTTACCCATGTGTGTCCCTGATTGCATATGCTTCATGGCCGCTCCCATATCGGAAATGTTGAAGCGTGTGATTGGACGAAGAGATCTGAGGTGGCCAGAACGGTACAACTTCATGAGGGCCACGAGCGCATTGTGGATTACCATCCCTCTCAACTCACTGTAAGCCACGAGATCCACCCCAGCCATGGTAATATTCCGTCCGAAAGGCGTCATGTCGAGACGTTTTGCTGCATGGAGATCAACCTTGCCAATCTCCACGAAACGACCGAAATCAGCCAAGCAGCCCCAGCTGGCTTTCAGAAGAGGGCCACCGAGAGAATTGAGGACGACGTCGACACCTTGTTCGCCCGTCCTGTCGATGATCTCGGAAGCGAAGCAAGCATCTCGACTCGAAAAAATGTGGTCTGCAGAAATGTTGTACGTATCCATCAGAAACTGGCGCTTGGTTTCGGTGCCGCACGTTGCAAAGATCTCAGCCCCTACGTGTTGTGCCCACATAATAGCAGCCTGCCCGACGCCGCCTGCAGCAGAGTGAATCAGAATTCGTTCCTCTTTCTGCAGTCTCGCGACATGATCAAGCCCAACATGAACCGTGAGATAGGCCACTGAGAAAGCTGCAGCCTCTTCCCATGACATCTCATCAGGAATTTTAACAATATTCGTCCACCAGGCCATGCTCGTACTGGCGAAGCTTCCACGGAATGCGCCGCAGATGCGATCGCCAATCCTTAGTCCGCTTCGCTCAGTACCAGGCCCAAGACGCTTCACGAATCCAGCGCCTTCATGTGTGAGAGTAAGGACATCTTTAACGAAGCCCAAAGCGAGCATGAGATCCTGAAAATTTAGACCGAAAGCTTTGGTCTCAATCTCGACCATGCCGAACGGAACGTCGTCGACAAGTCTGGGCACCTCCAGGAATTCAATCTTGTTCAAGAGATCACCGGATCCCTCAGGAACCTGGTATTGTAGATCTCTTTCATCGTCGTACCAAAGTCGGTGCTCGGGCATGGGCTTGATTCCGCTACAACGCATGTCCAGCTCAACGTCCGGGTAGTATCTCAGTACATGGAGCTCCGAGTTTTTGACGGCGTACTCCCAGTCCATATTGCTATTCTCTAGCGAGTAATCAAAACCTTCTTCGAAAACGTGCATGATGTGGTTGGTGGTCTCGGCATTCCACAGATCTTTAGAAACATCGAAGTCGAGATGAACGCACCGCTTGTTCATATCTTCGCGACGGAAGGTTCTCAACAGGCCGGGTGTCAAACCCCAGAGCGGCTTCTGCGAATCGATCAAGCCTCCACCACTGACCCAGAATATGCCCATGCTACTGACAAGAAGATGTCTCAGCTTCTCAAAGGTCACCTGATTCATTGAGCTCACCAGATCGTACTCCAGCTCTATGGCAACGAGGTACAATGTAGTTTCATCAGGACACACATCCTTTAGAGTCTCGTGTCGCGGAGCTGTGCCAGTCTTGGCAGCAATAGCTGTCGCAAGCTCTTTGCGCCAGGCCAATGGAGCATTCCGCCCCCATATGATAGATATGGATGATGGATAAGATGGCTCAGCAGCAGCAGTAGCAATGAGGACACTGCTGACCTGTACTTCTGGCTGCTCGCAGTTTCCGATGTTCATGTCAACGCCGCTGAACCCGCTGGATTTCAAAAATCTGTCCCAGGTTGGTACATCGGCAATTGCACTCATTTGCCTTTCAGGCTCTTCGCCCAACCACCAGCCTGGTAGCGTTCCAAAGATGAGCTCGAGATCGATACTGTGCTGGGTCCCTTCGAGAAATATTAACTTTCCCTTCGGCTTCAGAAGCTTTCTGACATTCGACAAAGTATTGGCGAGGCTGACCGTAGCATGCAAGACTTGCGAAGCGATGATCAAGTCGTAGCTGCCAGCAGTGAATCCTTGTTGAATAGGATCGATCTCAATGTTGAGTCTAGCAAAGTTCATTCGCCCTTCCCAGCTGGCGAACTTTTTTTTCGCCTCTGGGAAGAAATCAGCTGAAACATCAGTATAGTCGTAGTGTCCCAGGAGTGTTTTCGACGAATTGGTCTCGTCCATCGCGGCGAATGCTTGCAGAGCATGCAGTGTGGCGCCTCCAGTGCCAGCTCCAACCTCGAGAATCTTGGCTCCCGGCTCCTTTATCGCATAGTGTTCAAGGACCTTTCGAAGCTGCTGATAGGTATTGTTGAACTGCGGTAGCTCAGTATAATATCGTTGTAAAAGCCCATTTTCCATCATCAGCTCCAATGGCGTAATATCACCACGAATAATCTGTGTTAAGTGACGGCCAATCTTAACGAGCAGTTCTCCGCCAGCGTTCATCGCAGCGACCTTCTCCAGTATGCTTCTTTTTGCTGCTTCACTCCTGTCCAGCCATTCGTGAGCTTCTAGGGCAGCTGCATGCGCGAGTTGTCCTGTTTCCACCGATTTAACGATAGTCTGCAACCAGTGATGATATCTTTTGTGGAAGGGTTGCCATCCCTTGGATTCTTCGTGTTGAAGCTGCGCAAGACACTCAAACATCAAGTGGTACGCTGCCTCACGGAAGTCTTTCTCGTCAGAGAGTCCGGAGTCGCTCAATACAATCTGCATTGAAGCTTTTGTCTTTGCCGGCACATCGTGAAGGATGTCAGGTTCCCATCGACCTTGGGAGTGGACGCGGAACAATTTCCCTGCATTATCATCTTCTGCTTGTATCTTCTGCAGCCGCAAATTATGCATCAGTAATGGCACATCGGCTTCTTCGCTCATTTTAGCCTGCACAACAGTGCCTTTGAATGCAGCATCACGGCTGGTACAATGCAACAGTCTTACCCTCGATTGCAGCTTATTGTCATTCTGTCTGCCGAAATCCCGGGGCACGGTCAATGAGCCTATGCTCTTGGGAACCATCATAGCCCTATCTTGGGCCTCCTCTGGAAGAGAGAAGTAGCAAGTCTGGAAGATAGAGTCCAATGTAGTAGGGTGAAGGACATACTCCTCATCCTTGGCAAGAGCCTTCGGGGAGAGCATGAAGCTGGTGTCTGAGCTGGATCCTGTAATCTTGCTCCCAATTAGATTTTGGAATGCCGGGCCATGGTAAATGCCCGTTTTTCTTAAACCAGCAAACATAGCATCGGGCCGGACATGCCTTACACGGTCCGCAACTGCGACGCGTTCCACATCAGAGCTTAGAGCTCTAGTCGCTTTCAAATTCTTGGAAGAATCCTCGGCAGAGACATAGCCCGTACAGTGTCGAATCCACGCATCGCTCGGGCTAATAGAAAAAAGTTCAAATTCATACCATCCCCGGTAGTCCAGCTCTTTGTCACTGCAATCGCGCAGCGTGAAGACAACTTCAGTTCCAGACTGGCCGGAAGATATAAGGAGAGCGGTCATGAAATCGATGTCCCGTAGCCGATACGATGTGGGCTCCTCCCTAGCTCCAGAAGACAATTTGAGGCGTCGAACCGCCTCAATCGCCATCGAGATGTACCCAGCTGCTGGAAAGACGATCTTAGATTCAAGTTGGTGGTCGGCCAGCCACTCTAAGTCCTGAACCCGCAGAAAGTTGCGCCAGGTTGGAGTCAGACTGCTTGCACCTGGTACTGAACTGCCCAATAGCTCGTGAGAGGGGAATCGTCGGTATCGATTCTGCCGTGAGGCTCGAGGCTCGACCAAGTAACTAGTACTGTGATCCCAGGCGTACGTAGGAAGATCATGCACAAAGTTCAGTTCTTGTCCTTCTAGAAAGTTCACCCCAGCCAAAGACACCGGATAACCGCGGACCAACAAATCGCAGGCAACATCTTGCATGGTACTGACAGCATCGATATTACGCCTCAGGCAGCTCAAATATGGCAGCTGAGCATTGCCAAGCGTCTCCCTGACTGCGCCGGAGAGTGTGCTGTGGGCTCCGACCTCGATGAGAATGTCGACATTCATGGATTGTGTGCCAGATGAAGAGTGTCGGTCCACGTTTTTTGAACCAAAGACCATGCTCTCTAGAGCTTCCGAAAATAGTACAGGACTAACAAGATTTTTTACCCAGTGCTTTGAGTCCAACGTTTCACCATGACTGACCAACTCACCCGTAACAGGAGAGGCCACGAGAATTTTCGGGACTTTTCCTGTATCCAGGAGGACATCTAGACGGTTCTGATAGCTTTTGGCGATGGGATTCATGTGGTGAGAATGATAGGCCAAAGGAACGTTCAACTTCCTTGCGGGCACCGCATCATCTTCGAGCATCGATGCCAATTCAGTAAGTGCATCGATATCTCCTGAGAGAGTCACGCTGGAGGGGCTGTTGACGCAAGCAATCACCACCTTACCCGATGAAGTACTCTTGATGTAGCCTTGTACATCATCAACGCTTAATCTGACTGCCATCATCCCACCCTGTAATGCATCACCCGTGCAATGCGCAGCAAGGAGGAAGCCACGATAGTAAGCGACACCAAGTGCCTCTTTGAACGAAAGGATGCCCGCTGCATAAGCGGCGGCAATTTCACCACTTGAGTGACTTACAACGGCTGTCGGCATAACATTCCATGATGTGAGCAGATCAACCAAGCAGAGTTGAATAGCAACATTTGCTGGTTGACTGATTTCCGCATCGTGGATACGTGACGATGCTTCATCACGACTAAGTTCCTCTATTTGCGGTTAATGGCGCATCCTTTCGGAAGTCAGGTTTATTGGTACTCACCATAAAGAGACCAGGGCGCTTGATATATTTGCGTCAGAATGTGATCGCAGTGTCGCACTGCAGATTGAAAGACAGGGTACCGGGCTAGAAGCTCTCTTCCCATGGCATACCATTGGGCACCTTGGCCATTAAAGATGAAACCGAGGCGAGGTATTGTTGTTGCACGAATAGGCTTTCGAAGGGTCTCTTCCAATTTGTCTGCTAGCTCTTCGATGCTCGTAGCCTTTACCACGGTCGTCCAAGCAAAACGGGTCCTGCGTTCGGCTAAAGTGTACGCTAGATCAATTGCCCGAGGTTTCTGATCCCGCATTATTGAGTCCCGGATGTGCAGTGCAAGACTTTCACCCATCTCAAGCCCTCCCGCTGAATGCCGTGAGCTAATGATGTAGACATAAGAGGGTGACGCTTCAGTAGGTCCTATCTGTTGTGACTCAACCTCGTTGATCGTATTGAATTCACTCGTGTGCAATGTTTTTGCTGTTGAAACCGGAGCTGCTTCCATGATGACGTGCACATTGGTACCTCCGTAACCAAAGTTATTAACAGATGCTCGCAGAGGCGCACCTTCAGGCCATCCAATTAGTGAAAGTGGCAGTTTCAGATTCCAGTCCTGCAAAGGAATGGCTGGGTTGGACTTCTCATAGTTGAGATGTGGCGGGATTTGTTGGTGCTGTAGTACAAGTGCTGTCTTGATGATAGATGCGAGACCACTGACAGGTTCTGTATGACCGATGTTTGCCTTTATTGAACCAACATAAACACTATCGCCCGCGGCTCGGGCTGCGCCAAATGTTTTGGCAAGTGACTCCGCCTCAATCGGATCACCCGTGGGAGTGCCAGTCATATGAGCTTCGATGTAGGCTGTCTCAGACAGGCTCAGCCCCGCGCGAGAGTAGCAGTCACGTATAAGCGTCTGCTGGGCTTCTTTCGCAGGAGTTGTGATAGTGCTTGTTTTCCCGTCCTGGTTCATCGCAGATTCGCGGATAACTGAATGTATATGGTCACCATCCTTCAAAGCCAGATCGAGGCGCTTCAAAATCACGACTGCCATGCCCTCCCCACGGCCATAGCCATTGGCACGGTGATCCCAGGGTAAACATTTGCCCTGAGGGCTCAGAACGCCAAGGTTGGATAAGGCGATGTATAGGTCTGGATTCATCATGAATTGAGCCACTGCCACGATGGACATATCTGACTCTCCAGTTCGAATGGTCTGGGCAGCTAAGTGTAGGGCAGCCATACTGCCCGAACAGCCTGTGTCGGTGGTAACGCTTTGGCCTTTGAGGTCGAAAAAATGGGATATCCTGTTGGAGTACATTGCGGCTCCATTGCCTGTGAAATAAGAAGGGGGCAAAGTCTCTGGATCTTTCACTAGACGATCTGTGTAATCCCTACCAAAGGTTCCAGAAAACACGGAAGTATTCGTTCCAGCAATTTTGCCAAGAGGTATACCAGCTGGGTCGGCGTCAGCCGAAGGGCGCCATGATGTTGTATGCGGGAACAGAGCTTACCATTCTCAAGCGCTTCAAAAACTCCCTCCATTGACAGCCTCAGTTGAGGATCCATGGACTGTATATGATCAGAATGTAGTAAATATATTTGCTTCTGATGGCATAATACGCACGCTCGCTGCCTCAGCCGAGAGATTGAAGAAAGGAGCATCAAATCTTGTGACATCTCCATCTAGAAAGTATCCACCTTGAATGTGATGCTACAAGTTGAGTGACGACAGGTTAGATTGGCCTTTTTTGCTGTGGAGGAAACCCTACCCTATCTGTCCTCTGCTGATCCGGATGATACAACGATGAGGCATCAAACCGGTCCGTAGGGACCGGAGACCATGCGTCTTTGCCCTCAGAAAGAAGACCCCACAAATTTGAGGGACTAGTGGCCCCTCCCGCAAACCGACAACTCATTCCGACGATGGCTATGGGCGTTGATAGAGGCCTCTGAGTCCCCCTTTGGCCCTCATCTCCGTTTCCGCGGTTCCGAACACCATTGGCAAATTTTACCACCATTTTTGGTAGCTGTACAGGTAAAGTAGTTTCAAAAAGCTGACAAGACGTTACGATACTGAGGTGATGGATGCTAGTTAAAGAAGGTCGAAGTATGGAGAATGTCACAAGGAGCTACGTAGGGTGGCTACTTTAACAAAGTAAGTTGTATTGCATATGAGCAACTGGCCCAAATATCTAATTTCCCGATATAATGGAAGTATTAGGAAGATTTATTTAATATTCGATGCACTAGGTGGGAAGGTTGATATCGGGTCTTCAAAGCCCGTCGTCAATCTGTAAAGAAAGAGATGTTACTGGCCGCTAGTTCCTTAAAGTTAGATAGAGTAGTGAGATTTCATACTGTAGGAAATCAATACAAAATAATTTGTGCAACAGCTGCGCTAAATCTCCGCATGAACTAATCATAGGATTCACTGGACTACCAGTATTGCGATGTTACTAGCGATGCTTCTCCCAGCATTTCTCCAGATAGTTCGGGAAAATTTGAAATTGGCTCATTCACAATCCGTATTTGCTCCACAAAGGTGGGGTATCTACTTAACATTAATGCTCCGTCGCGCAACTTGGACTTCCAGTCACAGATTAGGGAACTCCGGCATAGGAATTTCAGATTGCGTTACTTACAGTTCGTAGATAGGGTGTCGTAATGAAGGAATGCTGTTCTAGCAACAATAGGCGAGCCGGCCATATACCAAGATCGACCAGGATAATCTTTCTTTGCATTTTAATTGTATTGTATAGCAATTTAGATTTTATCGCAATAAAATAGTTTCCAGAAAAGTTTCAATACAATTAGAGTTTTAATTTAACGAAACGTCACTCGTCTCTTGAAAAAAGAAATGGACTTTTCAAGACATGCTATTGTTTAGCCTTGTTGCTAATACTAAACCCGCCTTTCTTAGAGGTTTTTAAGCTTGCTCCCTTAGTAGTTCCAAGCTTCCATTCCTCTTACCGATAATTTCTTCTGTAGAAGCTATTTTCAATATACGTCATCTTCACTCTTAGTAGTTCAGTAATCTAATTCTACGGGAACACTAGATCATTCGCTCAATATTTTATGTTGAAGGTAAAACTATTGGCATACGGATGAAGTTGCTTCCGCTGGGCACATTGAGCATATGGGTCTTGAGGTGGGTACGGTATTGAGGCGGGTATCGATAGCATGGCTGTCAACATCGAAGCTATGATTACCAGGGCTGATAATACGCCTGATCAGTGTTGAAATTGCGGATGTTTCCAAAAACTTGCTCTTCAAAATGACATTGTTTGATTAACTAATCTTCTCTTATCACAGGTAGTCTTCAAGAAGCTTAACGTCTTTCACGTAGCCTACTCACATTAATACCTCTACTCATATCTAATTAACTATATTAGCATAGCTGCTACTGAAATACGGTTATGAGCATGTGAGTGGTAAAGCATTAGCTAAATCATCTAAGGTAGTAAGCTGTGGTAGAAAGCGATATTCATCTATGTAAATTCTATGTTAGAACCGCACTGCCTCAGCTGTTGGACGAAGTCACGTATTAGTAGGCCTTATTTTGCGTCGTGCTAAAATGTTTTGTCTGAACTTCTTCTCATACCTGTTACACGTGATATCATTGAGAGATCAGAGGATTTTGCTGGAGGCTTAGCAATGAGGCCGGCTTTTCAGTGTTTAGGTATTTCGTTATCGGTCTAAACATCTACGTTGAGTAAGAGTAATGACCTGCCTTTAGAGCATTACTGAATCTATAGCGTGGCTTCTGTGGCGCCTAACGCATCCTTGCTACCCTAATGCTCATCACTATCTCTATTTTCTTTTACAGCCTTTGTAGTAACGCATCTCTCCGAAGCCTCTGAGATCCGGATTAGAAGATCTGATTCTAAGAACACACCATAACTCTCCACCTCACAGGGCTTCAGAGGGCTGTGCAATTGCATATCGAACGCGCGGAAAAACTGGCAGTGCTTCTTGTTAGCAAAGTAATACCACGAATTAGTGTCAAACGAGATTACTCTTACCTCAAAAACGACCTTGTTCAGTTCCATGAAAGCGATAGTCTTGCCGGCGCACATCCATTGTCCATGACCAAAGGCAAGCTCCACATTCCGTTCCATCTCTTCGCGTCTTTCTTTGCTCAATTCCATGAACCTTCCTGGATTGTACAGATCAGCATCGGCACCAAATAAGGATTTTGAGCGTAGCAAGGATGAGCCGTTGGTGCATATGGATGTCCCTGCTGGTATGAACTGTCCATGGAAGGTTTCGCCGGGTTCAGGGACAACCTTTGGGAACAGTCCGAGCAATGGTGGACGCATGCGGATTCCCTCATAAATTACAGCCTACAGAACTAGTGAGTGACCGGAGAACACAATTCTGGGGGGGTGCTAGTCGACAAGGTTGACAGACCTGAAGGTAAGGAAGCCGTTTTGCTTCCGCTAATTGAATAGGATACGAAATACCTCTTCCCTGACAAGTTGAATCAATCTCTTGCTTGAGCTTTGCATACACCGATGGGGCTGTTATAACATGCACTAGTATCTGGCGTATTGCGCAAGCTGTACTTTCCGTCCCGGAGAGCAACAGGAACAACCCTTCAATCTCGCATTCTTGTCGGGTAAATCCTCGTTTCATAAGAGATTCCTAGAAAAGATTGATCATGTTAACTATGGATCCAAAGCTAGCTGCTTTGCGGGAAGAACATACGAGCATGTCGTGTTTTCTCTCCTCGCCCGAATCAAAACGACGATCTACATGCTGTTTCGCTGCTCTACAAAGATTTCAGTCCTGAACTCGCAAGCAATGTGGTTTACTAACCCCATAAGAGCTCCAAAGCCCTTCTTGTCTGTGTGTTTCGGTCCCAGAAACCTCAAGACAGGCCTGGAAAATAGGATATTGCGAATCCATGGGACATCAGCAGATGTTGACATTTGCGGCCAAAGCTTGCGCACCGAACCGAGGAAATTGTAATGGTCTTTCTCGTCCTGGAGGTATCCCACTTGATGGCCAAATGCCAGATGCGTAATCACATCCATAGTAAAGTAGTTCGAGATCAAGCCCAAGTCCACTAGTGGTGGATCTTGTCCCGGCAGTACAGCCAGATATCTCCTTTGAAGGATACTTATTAGCTGTTTGACTTTATCATTGATGATGACTTCGAGACCTGGTGTGTCCCTTCCGAGATATGCAGGCATGGATCGAGTCTTCGCTTTTTTATGCGCGAAAGGATCGAGGATGGTGAAAAGGTTGTCGTGGTAAGGATTGAATCTTCCAGTCAAATACCAGGTGCCTCTGCTGTATGTGCTGCCTGATGATGCGATCTTCTTGAGAATTTCGGGATCATCCGTGGTGATCTCGTTTGGCCCAATGCGGACCAAGGGGCCATGTTGTCTGTGCAGGTCCCGGTGTATCCAGTACTGTTTCCCGCTGTAGGTGGTTCGGGCAAGCCAGATGTAGGAGACCGCAGCGAAGATTGAGGGACTTGGAATATGTCGTAGTCGTATATATTGTGTGACGGCAATTTTTATCCGCCAGAAAACCAAAGAAGTAACACACACGAGACAAATCGAGCTCCAGCTCGAACCAGATAATTGTGCCAATGAGAGCAGCCTGCTCATGAAGAATGAATCGCAGTACATGATGTGACAAGTCACCGTTAATTCCTCGATGTGTCTGATTTGATATACACTGAATCTAGGTAAATGTATAGAATCATTGTTACAATAGGTGACTCTTTGGGATGAGATACCTCGCCGATCTAATCGTTGCGAGGCGGTCTTCACTCTTCTCGGCTTATCTCCATCAGCGCTAGTCTTACACTCCGTTCCCTTGTGTCTGAATTTATTTATTTGTCCGAAAACATTATTTGTCTCTGTATTAAGGAAATTATTTTAACTCAACGGAATGAAGATTATTGTTATGGGCTACGGGCAAATAGATGCACCAGTGGAACTTCCGTATTGCGCAGTCGGTTGGCGTATTGATTAGGTTACTCGCACGATCAAAGGCTCAGTTCTTGCAAAAGATATCCCGATATGCCGTGAATGCTTGGAAGATCGGCCATCATAATCTCATGCTGTTTTGTTCCAATGTCATTTTCTTACTTTAATATACCTACACCACCTGCATCTGTGTGCAACAGAACTAGATTCGAAAGCTTTTATTCATGTTGCTCTATAACTCCTTTACTGAGGGATTGAAGTTTACCAAGACAGTGAGTTTCAGCCTTTTCTGCTCAAAGTTCAAGATGATTGATGCTGCAGAAGATTCTTCTTAGGTATTACGCTTCAGCACTCATCGATGTCCCCAGAGACGACGTCATCGAGGATGCTGGCGTCAGCAAGTCGCAGGCAATGCAAAATATACGTGACCGATGGTACTATCCCCCTGATCTCGCCAATGACCTTCAGGATCTCGACATGCCGAAGGCAATGAAGCAAGAAATATTTGCCTGTGCTTGGGAGTACACTCGATGCGTAATCCCGCAGTATACAAATTGGCCACGCTATGTTGCATTTATGCGAATCATCATTATTGGGATCGTGGCGGAGTTCCGCGGCAACCTTGTAGATGTGACAGCTGGAGACGATATGATGGGCTACAACCTTAGTACTGTCCTCGATGCACTTTTCCTAGGTACAGCGGATCGGTATGAAACCCTTGAGCGTATCTAGAACTTTCCCCAACCCAATTCTGAGAGACTGATGCTAACATGGATGATTTCACAGTGAAAATATGTGCCGCGAATACCGATCGTTCTTGCTCATCACAGCGGACAAGTCGAGTGAGAGAAGAAACGGAGAGCTATTCCGTCGGTATGTCAACGCCCTTGCCCATTCGCCACGGCAGTGGTTTCGGATGCGAGACGCCGATGCACTTGCCCGCTTTACGATAGCAGCATCATTAGCCTGCAACGACCTTGACGATCTAAAATTCTCAAATATGGAGTATGAGATACTGACCGAGATCGGGGACACGCTATACGATGCTGTGGCATTCTTCAAGCACCGCTCTGAAGGCGAGACGAACAGTACTTTTGCATACATGCCTCCGGATATGCGCGTTGAAGCTTTTCACCAGGCTCGAGAGGTGCTTTGGGCGATGGATGTAGCTTTGGCGCCGAAGACCACTCTCCAGGGGGTTATAAACTTTGTACGGTTCTTTGGCGGCCCTATACATATGATGATGAGGCGATATCGCTTCGTGGAAGAGCATCTGACGATTGGGCAGGTGGAGACTGAGAAGGTCGTCGACCAAACACGCAAGAACTTCAAACTTTGGAATCGTTTAGATGCTAAAGACGCTAAAGCAGGCGACGAAAAGCGCTACAAGGATATCGTTTCTAACAACAGCGGTGAAGTCATGTTTCCGGGCTTGGTCGAGTTTTTGGAAAACGAAGATAACTGTCCAGACTGCTGCTTTCGAGAGTCGTACGGCGCTGAAACTAAGCATCAATTTGGAGGAGTTCAGATCTGCTCTGCTTGTAGGGAGGAATGGGGGAGATATATGAAGTCCTTGCCCGACCGGGCAGTAAAGGCCTTTCCAGAACTAGCATATGTTCTCTCTATACCATGATAGCAAAGCTTAATGATTGTATATATAATGGCTATATGATTATTTTCCCTCTTTATCTTGATTTTAGTATGTATTTTATAATGTTCCTTAATTCTATATAGAGCTTCCTAAAAAACTATTACAGCGATAGAACGAGAGCCTAAATAGGAGTACTACCTATTATCTCTATATCACCTTTAGTGATTACCTTATACCGGGGGTGGTGACTGCCGTCCACCATTGGCGACTCCCTCGTCCCGGGTCGTCTCGATGACGCCCGTTTTAGTGCTAGTGGATGTCTATATTTAGCCACTTTGCCTATATTTATAGATTCTTCTTTAATTTATACTTTTATTATATTAGGTTATAAGCCTAGCTTATGTACTAATATACTTAGCTTTATTTACTAGTACCTACTTGTATTAATTACTTTACTTATATCTACTTCTTTTAGAGGTATACTTTATTAATATCCTAATATTTTTATAGCTTTATACTTTAACCTATTTAATATATCACATCTAATATTACTATCTCTAACTATAGCTTAGTACTACCCCTAATACCAATTATATTTATAAAACTAGCTTTTAACTTCTATCTAGACCTATTCTTAATATTTAAGGAAGTTTTCTAAAGTACGAACTACTTAGAATAAAGGTTAGCCTAGATTATTAAATTTACATATATAGGTATTTAGCCTATTTTTACTAGAAAATAAATATAACAATTATTTCGTCCTAATATAAAAGACTAGAATAAATAGGATAATAAGGCCTTGGGTATACTACTAATATTAGTATACAATTACGTAATAATAATTATAGTAAGCTATAATACCCCTTTAGAAGCTTACAAGTATTTTACTAACTACTTTAATACGCATATAGGTACTCTATTCATTTTACTATTTTAGTCCTTTAGAAACATCTACTAGTATAATAGTAATAACTTTAAACTATATATTAATAAATTATATTTATACTAGATATCTATAGCTTAATGTTATAAAATATCTATATAACCTATTATAGTAGTAATACGTAATATATTTAACTTAGACTATATTAAGGGTTTATTTTTTCTTACTACTCTACCTTAGATACTAGATAATATTACTAATAACTTATATACTAAAGATATAACTACTTTTAAAGATAATAAGCCTAAAATTATAGATATCTGTAAGAAGCACTTATTAGATATTAGTAACTCCTTAGCTACTTATATAGTTAGATACATAGCATTTAGATAACTAGATACTAAAGTACTGTGCCGTGGCACGGGGTGTATAGGAGAAAAACGAGGCTTAGCCTAAAAAGTTAGGCGGGTTAAATAGTATAAAGGTAAGAAGGATTAGAGGATAGAATAGTATTACTCCTAGAGACTTTACTTTAACTCTATAATATTAACTTTTCTCTTATAATCCTGTATTAAATTTATATCCTCTACTATAGGATTACTACTATTAAACCTTACCCCTTCTACTTCTCCTTATTTAAATAGGTTACTCTCCCTAATAGTTTAAATAGTAAAGCCTAAGAGGAACTTATCTTATCTTAGTAAAGGGGAGGGCCTACTAGCATATAACTAAGAGGACGTTTCTTCTAGTATAAGGGGGGCAGAGCAAAATTAGAAAATAAGTAGTGTTAATAATTAATATTATTAAGGCAAAAATAGTAGGCCTATATTAGGACGTAGCTAACGCGTGTTAGTAGGAATAGAGTAATAACACTAAGAGGCTAACTAGAAAATATTAGAAATACTAGAATAACTAGAATAACTAGAACTAGAATAACTAGAACTAGAACAACTAGAACTAGAATAACTAGAACTAGAACAACTAGAACTAGAACAACTAGAACTAGAATAACTAGAACTAGAATAACTAGAATAACTAGAACTAGAATAACTATAACTAGAATAACTAGAACTAGAACTATTAGAATAATTAGAACTACAAGAAGCATTAGCAATACTAGAAGTGCTATAACACCTAGAATATTGCTACTAATAAAAAGGCTATAGCAAAGGCTATAGGATAGTATATACTATTAGTAGAAAAATAGGGCTAGGCTAATATTACTAATATAATAAGAACCTACTAAAAATAAATATAAGTACTAGCACTATTTAGGAAGGGTATTAGGGATATAGCTACTAAGGAAGAGGAGGTAGTCTATAAAAGTAAGAGATAGAAGAGGAAGGAAGTAATATAAGTAAGTAAATACTAACTTATCTAATAATTTTAATTAATATTACTAGTTTATATACCTCCTTTAATATTTATAGAAGCCTACTACCTTAGCTAAGCCTATCCTTTTTACTAGGAATAATACCTAGAGAAAGTAATATTACCCTAGGATTAACTAAAATAGAATCCTCTAGACCCCTAAGAAAAGTCCTAGTCCTAATAAGGCCTAGGAAAACTAACTTTTAGTTCTAGGGGAGGGAGGTTATAAAGTTCTTAGATAACTATAATTACTAAGTAGAAAATAGGGGGCTAGATAAAGTAGACTAACTAAAAATTCTGCTAGACTTCTATAATACTATATGCAGAATATTTATAAAGAAGCTTAGACCCTACTAGAAGCAAGACTAGGAGGAGCTATAGGAAGCTATAAAGGAGCACTAGAGGGACTAGGATATAGCCTAAAGGATAGGTACCTAAACCTTCCTAGATACGTATATATAAGAGGCCTCTAGAAACTTCCTAGGTCTCTTAGACTACTATACTAATTTTATTATATATAGTAATGCCTGCCTAGTATCTAAATAGCTATATAAAAGCAAAGTTAGGTTCTTCTTCTTTAGGGGGTTACCCTAGGTAGATAAAGAGCTAGTCTTGCTTAGTATACTAGGAGGGCCTAATAGTAATAAGGTAGTAAGCTATAGGCTAGAGAAGATTTATACCTATATTAAATAAATCTATTAGTAAAGAGAAGGAATAAAATATATATTAGCTAGCTAAATAAAGGAAGATACTTAGTAGGTATATTAGATATTAGAGTTAGCAAAAGCTATACCTATAAAGGAGGAAATTATAAAGGTAGTAAAAGGTATTAGAAAGGAGTAAGCTACTACCTAGCTACTACTAAATATTAACCTAGAAATAGACTAGTTAATTAGGGTACTAAGAAAAATAAAGATAAGTTTAGCTAAGGCTAATAGGCTATAGGAATACTATATAATAGGCCTGCTACTAAAAAGACTAGTAAACTAGCTCTACTTTATTTTATATATAACTAACGCTAGGATAGAGTAAGGAATATATTAGAATACTATAGTAATTAGAGGGTTACTAATAAACTAGCTAAGAACCTAGGGCCCTATATAAATATTAACTACTTAGCTAGGGCTATAGAGTTATAGGGGGTATAATAAGAAACTACCTACCTATAATATATATAGATTAGAAACCTACCTAGCAAGGGACTACCCCCCCTAGCTAGAACCTATAGCGCTAGGGTAGGTAAGCACTTCCTAGAATCTAGAAATAAGGACTAGGATATTTTATTATAGACTATTATATAAAAGACTAGGGCAAGTTATAGAGCTAGTACTATAGAACTATACTCTTTACTAAATAAAGTAAAAGTTATATAAATACTATAAAGTTACTAAGGATATCCTTAGCTAGGTAGCGTTATAGGTTAAGCTAGAACTATTTAATAGAATAGATTTAAGAGGCTAGTAGTAGAGGTAGACTTAAGGACTAGACTACCTAGTAGTAAAAAGAGCAGGAGCTAATATAATAACTTCCTAGAATTAAGGGTTAGAACTAGCTAATACTTAAAAAGAATATAAGCAGTTCTTAAACTATTAAATACTATAACCTAATAAGGAAGACCTAGTAGTAATAACGCTAGATTATATAGACTTAAGATATATTATTCTAAGATTAGTAGATAAGAATACACCTAGGATCTATGCCTCTATAAGGGAGAAAGAAAAGTAAAGGGACTAAGTCTTAGAAGAAGTAAGGATAGGATTAATCTAGAAGCATAGGTAAGGAAGACTAACACAAAACCTAGTAAACTAAGAAGAGGGGGTAAGTAAGGAGATAGAACTTAAAGAGACCCTAGAGATTCTATATCTAGCTTAGGCCTATATAGACCCCTTTGTAATAATCTAGCTACTAGATAATATAGGTAAAGGCTATATAAATTTAGGGCCTAATTAGGACCTGCTAGTAATAAGAAGAAAAGTATAGTTTAAAGAAGTAAAGAATAAGGAGCTTAAGGGAATAATATGCCTAAGCCTAAACTAAATAGTAGCTACTTTTCTTAGGTAGGAAGTATAGGGAATTATAGTAGCTAACCTACTAGGGCAAGATTATCTATAGGAATAAATTAAGACGTTATTATAGGACCCCTAGACTTAAGTCCTAGAGGATAATAACTACTTTAGTAGGGTAAATATAGTAGAGCTAGGGGGCCTAGAAAGTGCGCTAGTCCTAAATAGGTATCTAAAGGGTGCGCTAGTTCTACCCTTTAGCTATATTAACTAATTAGAGGAGCTAGAAGTAAAGAACCCTATACTAGGTTAGCGTAATATACGCGTAGTACTAGAAGTGTATACTACCTAGGTAAGGCTCTAATTTAAATAAAACTTAGATAGGTGTGGAAATTTGGATCACTAAGGTTAGGAATGATTTGGGAGATAGATTATTAGATTGTATCTACTACAATTGTACTTATATATATAGAGCTTTAGCTACCCTTACTAGAAGGTGAATAATTAGTAAACCTTCCTTACTAGAGCTCCTGCTTTTTATTAGGCACTTAGCAGTAAGCTAGTAGTTAATTAGATAGTAGGTTATATAGGGGTATTAATTAGGGTTAATTAGATTAAGATACTCTATAATCTAGTTAATATCCCTCCTATAACACACCCCCTAGGTATAGGTAGATCTTTTATTATTATAGTTATGCCTATAGTTAGTAGGTAGTATAGCTAATTAGAGTGTTGTATATCTAAAGGGTTAAATTAGCTTACCCTTTAGATACTAACTAGCGCGC